TTCTGACAGTAAAAGAGTGCAAGAAAATCAGAATGCATCTCCAAAGAAAGGATGTAGCGAAGAAACCGAGGATGGTGGACAATATGGGGTCAGAGCCACCTTTATTTAGCGGTAAACTTGAAAGCCCAAGAATAAACATCAATTATATACCAACAGGAGAAATAAGAAGAGGACAATGGCTCCTGCCCTCAAGAAATGTATAATCTAATAAGGAGGCAGAATAGGTATATAAATATGAACCTTAGATCTGAAGATTATTCACCAAAGCTTGTTTACTTCAAATACTTTGGTTTTTCATGCCTGCTGGCATTTGGAAAGACATCTAAACATACAGGAACTGCTGTCCTTTCTTCTCTGCAGCAGGCTCAGGGATAATCAAGCCTCTGCAGACCCAGGTGGGAGACCCCTAACTGCTCTCCCTCGCTAATGCACAGTGTGAGACCAACTGACTGTCAAAACAAGCTCTCATCTTAAGAGCACAACGTTAAATCAATTCTAAAACCATTTTAGAGATAAAATTCCAGATTTCATTGCTTATTTCTCCTTTTCGTATGAGAAGTCCTTTTTTTTGTTCTCCCCATCAATAAGATGGGACTATCCAACATCAACAAGACCAGTTATTAAAATACAGTTGTAGCTCACAATAAAAAAAAAAACACATTTAAGTGATATCAATCAGAACAACTGATTTAAAAAGCAATTATCTTAGAGAGCTATTTAAACAAGTAATTTCCAAACATTTATAATTTATTCTCACTCTTATCCTGTCAGGTATATTCGTTTGATAGATGAGGAAACTGGAACTTGGGAGGTAAAATGATTTATTCAGGACACAGTTATTGCATAAGAAACACACAATCTTTGACAATGATCTCATTTTACTCACACAATCAGCTGTCAAGTCCTGTATATACTATCTTCATAATTTCTCTTTAATTCTCTTTTCTACATGAGCACTGCAACTCCTAGTCCAGAATCTCATTATCAACTCCAAGCCTAAGACACTTTCTTAAGAGTCTCCTGGCTTCTCTACTCATCTTGCATACACAGATTGAAGTACAATTCTCACTTCCATGCATTTGCACAAAAACCTTCAATAAAGTTATTTCTCAATTACGTATTCAAATACTCTTTCTAATAGGTACTCTCCATGCTTTTCATTCAAAGATATTTTGATTTTTCCCATTTCTCCACCTTTGCTTCCTATTCCTCCCTCCACCACCTACGCATGTTCGAATTCTAATCACTTTCAATACAAGGCCCAGATCAACACCATTCCACTAAGCCACTCCCCTCCCCCAACCCTCTTCTTTCTCCTCAGATCTCTTCTGACACATCTGTATTTTCTTTCATTTTTTTACCCCAAGAAATATTTACTGATAACTATTAAGAACCAAATATGTGAAAAGTCAGGGAATGCAAAGATGAACAAAAATAACTTTTGCCGAAACTGGTTTGGTTCAGTGGATAGAGCATCGGCCTGCAGACTGGAAGGTCCAGGGTTCGATTCCGGTCAAGGGCATGTACCTTGGTTGCGGGCACATCCCCAGTAGGGGGTGTGCAAGAGGCAGCTGATCTAAGATTCTCTCTCATTGATGTTTCTAGCTCTCTATCCCTCTCTCCTCCTCTCTGTAAAAAAATCAGTAAAATATATTTTTTAAAAAATAACTTTTTCTTACAGCTTAGTTAGGGAGACAAAAGTACAGAATAAATCACACCTTGTAAGTACCACACACAATGGTCAGCTTAGGACTCTACTTGAGCTTAAATCAAGAATACACAAATCGGGCTTCACTCGCACTCCAGGCACGGATTCCAGCAGAATTGACTTGGCTGAGTGGGAAACGAGGCCGAGAGCCTGCTTAGAGCACTGATGGTCCATGAGGTCCAGAAGGTTGGTGACCGCTGGCTCAGAGGACCAGCACAGAGCCACACTGCCTTCTGCTGTGCAGTGGGAGGCAGAGTGCTGGAGGGGAAAGTATGGACTTTGAATACCTTAATATACCACAAAGGGCTATTTTATGAACCACAATAAAATACTGTTTGTGGAAGCAATTTTTAAATAAAAAGTGTTATGCAAAGTTCAGATATCATTTATTTATAAATAACATTGCTTCCTAGCTACCTTTTGAATTTAATTGGCCACAGGAATCACCAGACCCACCCATTTTAAGAAACATTTAATTAGGTAGTAAAAGTTTAACAGAATAATATGTAATGTTGTCAAATCCAGATTTTATGATACACTGCTCACCTCCTCAATTTCTCTATATATACACATTCTGCAAGAACACACACATACATACAACTTCCAAAGGCAAGTGGCTTAAGAGCAGCGAATTCACTCACGTTTAAAATGACACTTAAAAATATAATACCTTCAACAGAGATCCCTAATAATTTACCATTGTTAGCAATTTCCCAAATTATAAAATTGGTACTATCTCTGTTTGTAGGCACAGCTCGAAAGGGACTTTCCATTTTCTACTCAGCACCAATAAATTCACAATCTAAACAGGGTGTCACATGGATTTCTATTATCATTTAAATATTTCTTCAGGAACATAAATCGGTCAATATAATGCCAAACTGTACAGCAAATGGTGGTCTTAACTGTATAGATTTATATTTAGAAACAGAGCTCGCCTTTAATACTACCATTCAGAAACATACAATCCGGGAGCCTGAAAAAAATGGGAAATGGTGGCAACAGGGAAAAAAGAGGAAGAGAAACGGGCAGCAGTGAGGAGAGGCAGTGAGTATTGTAAACTACCATGAAATGGGAAGGGGCTTCTAGCTACGATGGCATGAACAGGTCAGGGAATCCTCTCCTCAAAACAAGAAAACAATAAGAACGCTGGACAAAGTTGTCCAACAGTCATTTCAGGTTCTGGAAATCAATCAAAGGCAATTAATAAACAGAGAAATTTCTTGTAAAATTGCTAGAGCTTATAGTAAGACCAGCAGGAGTCTACAAACTTATTGCCTGGAGCTATTCTAACCCACTAACCCATCCCAAACCCTCAGCAGTGCTGGTGAGAACTTGGTTTTATAGCCCAGGGCTGGGGCCATGGAAACCAGGGGACTCAACCAGAGGCATTTGGAGGAGACAGCAGAAAACCCACAGCTCTGTTGGTATAAAGTGGCAAACTTAGTAGAAACCTAATGGAAAATAGTTTTTCCAGCTTGAGGTTGTGGTCTAACCAGGGAGAGTGAGTGGTGGGACAGCCAGAAATCTAAAGGGGAAATCCTGGAAATGACACAATCACAGAAGAGCTGGATACACTCTCCTCACTGACTATGAATCCATACGGATGAAGGGGAGATATGAGAGGTCCCAAGAGAAAGAAAAATCCAAGGAAAACTTGAGAACTGGCTGAACTCCAAATGTGCTTCCCACCCACAAAGAGATGGTGAAAGCTTTACAAGCTGGAGATGCTTCAGCACACCTCTGCCCAATGACTGGCTGGCCACTAAGCCATGGAGACACAGGGCGACTTCTAGTCAGGCTTAAAAGTAAAAACGAGAGTGAAAATCACTATGCAGAAACATTAGTGGCTGCACAGAGTAGCTTAAGTCCAGGCAAAGTTCTTAAAAGAAATACATACAAATCTTATCATATGGCTTAATGGCTGAATAAAGCTCTTCCCCTGATAATCTGATAGAGGAAAGGCAAAAGAATTTAAAAACTACAGGGAGATATTTCTATGTAGAGTGTAGAGTGTTTTTAGTGTCAGAAATATACTATATAATCCCACAGACAATATGATTTCCTGTAGGATAATATATATGTGATACAAACCTATTGTTAATTTAAGACAGTTCCTTTACTTTAGTAAGTAATAGTAAGAAGTGAAGTCAAAGAGATTGGGGCCAGAGATTAGTAAAGCAAGTAGAGAGTTTGGATTTTAGTCTGAGTATGTTGGGAAACCACTAGAATTAAGCAGGAAAATAGCATTATTTGCATTTAAAACATCAACAACAAACACCTATCTTGGCTGCTATGTGGAGAATGGCAATAGCAATACAGGAAAAAGTGATAAGGTCTGAATTAGAGTAGTGACAATGATAATTACTTCACACAACTTAAACTCTTATAAGTCTCCCAACAGCCACTTGAGGCAGGTACCAATGTCCTCACTTTACAGATGAGCAAGCCAAGGTGAAAAGAGATTAAATAACCGGCCCAAGGTCATAGTGCTAAGTAGGGGCCACATTAGGACCCAAACCCAAGAAATCTGTCAGAAGAGCTGACCTCTTAGTCATGAACACTATCCAGCTGTATTCTTAAAATAATGAGAAGAGCTTGAAGAAAATATTTTCAAGTTATGGTTGCCAATACTTGCTGATGGATGAGATGTAGAGATGAAGGAAAAACAACAACAACAACAACAACAACAACAAGAACGGCTTACAGGTTTTGCTTGAGAAACTAGACAAATTTAGTAGCACAACTATATACAAGTATAGAGAGAATATAAAATACTACCCAGGCCTAAAGTAGTGCAACATTTAAAAGTTGAGGAGAGAGAAGAAGAACCAGCAAAAGAGACTAAGAAAGAACTCTCACGGCTTAGGAGGAAAATAGTGGGATCACAAAGCCAACAGACTTAAGCATTTCAAGGAGGAGGGAGAAGGCAATGTGCAGAATGCTGCTGAGGGACTGTGTTTGAGAACAGAGAAGGGACCATGAGATCTCTGCAGAATGAAAGTTCCAGGTGAATTGGAGAAGAGCAGCATCCCCCTAAGCTTAGTCTCACCACTGCACTTACCTTGTTAAACTGACCCACCTCCAGTCTAGAAGCTCCTGAGCTGGGGCTGTGAGTTTGAATGCTAAATTCTTAACTTCTAATTACATGTTTGGATTAGAATTAAATCGACATAAATGCTATGTAGTGTAAATGCTAAATTAATTCAAAAGGGTTTCTGGTATGACAATTAAGGTGATGATCTCTAAGAGGACACATACCCTTCCACTTTCCACCTCCTAATTCACATACCGTAAGAGATCCATTCTGTGTGCTGGGTGAGTTGCTACTCTGCTCTCCGTGGGCTTGCGTACTTCCGTAGAGTGTCAGGTTATGTTCACTGGTCTGGCCGGCATAGTCCTGAGTGTGTGGCACTCCATATTCTGTGGGAATTCCGTTCTGTGGAGGAGGTGGAAACGGGATGGTAGTAAAAGGCTGAACCATTGCATCAGGAGTTGTTGTTGGCTCCTGGTTACCCTATAAGAAATAGTGAGAAAGAAAATGAGAAAAAGTGATTTTTAATTCTCATTCCGTAATTATTTTTAAGGTGATTATTCAAGATTATCTGAATATTCTTTCACTGCTCAGGTAAAATCTAATACTACTGCCTTACAATTGGGGGAAATATTTCACACACACACACACACACACACACACACACACACACCCCTACCTAATAAAAGAACAGCATGCTAATTGACTGTATCTTTGTGATGCCCATCAACCAATCAGGAGTGAGTATGCAAATCAACCCAACAAAGATGGTGGGTTAGTTTGCATACATAGGTGCCAAGCAGCCAGGATGGGGTGTACGCTTGGGATGATGCAGGAGTTCTGCACCACCCCAGCCACTTGGGCTTCTGGTCAGAGTGGTAAGACAGAAAGGTGGCTCCAGGCTGGAACGGAAAGGCTGCTCCAGCCAGAGCAAAGTGCGCCAGCTGCCAGGGGAACGAAGGCCCATTCTTGCAAGAATCTTCATTAGTGCATCAGGACACTAGTATATATAGATGTATGCTCACAAAAACACATACCCAACATCAGTCAATTTGTGATTACCAGACAGATCCATGATCAGTTCAAGTTAACTAGTTACCAGAGAGAAAAATTTTACTTCAAGTTTTAAAAAATGCCAGGAAATTTCTCATACAAAATAAATTATAAGAGTTGAAATTAGTTTTTGCCATTAGTATTTTCTTTTCTTTTCTTTTTTTTAGTATTCTCCTTAGGGCATTCTATTCCTTTAGTGATTCTTAGGGGAAACAAATCAAATTCATTAAATTGCAATTTATAACAATAGAATGACATTATAAATGGAATTCTCAAAACTACACAACAGAGACATTCCAATTTTAAGAGCATAGAGTTCAGGAGAAAGTATATTATAAAAAAGAATTAACCTTTGAATTTCAAGGTACAGATTTAAATTCTGGCTACCGGGTTAATACTTTTCCTTAACTTCAAAATATTCAAGAAGTTTTCCATAATTACTGCCAACACTATCAGGTTAACAACATAGCAGGACTCCTCCACACAATATCCATTCCCACCTGCTTTCTTGGGATCTAGTGTGATATTTGATATATCATAAAGAACGTGCAGTAACTATAGAAATTATTATAAGCCATTTTAGTTCCACAGTCCTCCTCTTACTTCTGTTCTTTGAGTTCACATACAAAATCCGAATTTAAATTTTGGGTAATACATTTGGCAAAACCCTCCCTCCTCAACAGTTCACCTCCTGACCTCCCATTTTATTCCATGAAAAGCAAAGCCGTAATTTTACTGAAAACATGCTAATCTGCAGTCTTGAACCTCTGTCCTTCTGGAAATTGTTGGCAGAGATGGCTTCAAAATGTTAGCATTTTGATGAACACTCCCCTTCCCACCTCACATTTTAGATATCAAATCCTTAGGGATCAAAGAAAATCTGGGTGTATGACACTTAGTTTCCTCCTAATGATGAGCATCACTTCCTTCAAACAAGGAAGCAATGATTCCTTTCTCACTCCTCCCAATTTCCTCAATTCGAGAAGGGATTCTCTACCCACTGAGAAGTGCAGGAAACAGAACCTTCAGCAGCATTTTCTAAACCTCATGCCAGGCTTTTAACATTAACTTGATGGCCATTAAAACTCACACTATCACAAACAAAACACATCCAGTTACAGAAAGGCCTCATGCGAGGGCCTGAAGCTGCAGGGATCTCCCTTTTCCATGTCCTGCATGGAAAGAGAGATGAATGAACCGGTTCTAAGTGGAGGTGCCCAGTGATTGAGAAATATTAGAAATAAAGAGAGAAGACACAGAGATAGATTTCAAGCTGGGAGCTGGGAGGGCTGCTGACCACCTCTGCTGGAGAGACAGACTGACAACCTCCAGAGCCACGCAGCTCATCTATTTATACTCCAATCCGACAAGGGGTTTCAAAGGAAAACAAGGAGCCTGGGAGAACCCAGGTTCCACCCACTCCTTCCTCCTGAACAAACACATTAGTCAGGAACTAAGAACATCTCCGCACTCCCAGGGCGGGAGTACATCTGACATGATTCTGCCAATATCCCGGGCCCAGTCAACAACAACCTATAGAATGTCCAGGTGTCTTCCCATTTGGCCCTCTACAGTCTCACACTATTTTTAAAGGAAGAATCAACCATCAATACTATAATCAGTTATTCTGCATAAAATAAAGCAGAAAAGATGAATGAAAAGGAATACTTAATGCAATAATGTTAATCCTCCCAAAAATAAAATGTCATTTCCAATCGGAAGCAAATGTGTCTGGGGAAGGAACTAGAACTAAATACCTTTCCAATTTGTATATGAAAAACTACTAGGTAACTTTGGAAAATGACAAACTATGAAGAGGGGCATGCTCTATCATGTATTAACACTTGCTGTGAAACTACTGTGATTAAACAGTAAGAATATACAAAGGGATTAATGGAACAATGATAATCCTCAAAAAGAGTGGAGCTTATCTGAGAACTTAATGGAAGATAAAGGTTGCATTTCAATTCAGTGTGTGTGTGTGTGTGTGTGTGTGTGTGTGTGTGTGTGTGTTTAGGTAAGAGTGTGTGTGTGTTGAGGGAAGAAGGAGGTATTTATCCTATGGTATTTGTAAAAGTTGGGTACTTTCCAGAAAGAAAATAAAATTAACCCTTTAGTGTATAGTCCACACACACAAAAATTTCCAGAAGGTATAAAATCTTAACATAACAACTATAAAAATAAAATAAAATAAAATCTAACATAACAACTATAAAAATAATAAAATAATTTGGGAGTATAACTGGAGTCTGGAAAATTCTTAAGTGAGACAGGAAACCTAAAAACCAGAAAGGAAAAAAGAGAGGGTAAGTCATAGGGAGGGAAAAAGAAAGGGGGGGAAATGGACCTCAAAATCAAAAGTAAGCCAACCAGGGGGAAATATTTTCAACAGGTAAGAAAGACACAACGAGTTTTATCATTACTAATGCAAGACTAAGTTACACAAATTGAAAAGAAATACAACAGAAAAAGAGGCAAACTGAATTATTCACAGAAGATGAAATACAAATGGCTGATCCAATCAATAAACATGCTCAATCTCTAACAAATGAAAACACATATTAACAACAAAGTCTAGTTTTTAGTCATTAAATCAGAAAATTAAAAAGTTTTATTGAGGAGTAACTGGCATACAATAAACTGTATCTATTTATAGTATAAAATATAGCCCGTTTGATATATATGTACACATTTCATATGTACACATAATGAAGTCATCACCACAATCAAAACAGCAAACATATCTATCCCCAACTCCCAAGTTCTCTTGTACGCTTAATAATAAGCATATGTTACTTTTGTAATAAAGCCTATAAAGTATTTTTAATATAAAAGAGAATGAAAAGAAAAATGGAATCAATAAGAGGAAGCCAATATGCTGACGCACTGAATTATTGTGCTATTCTTAAGAAAATGAGAGTGACATTCCCTAGAGATAAAGATTCATAACGGTCTTTCATTTTAGTTACACAGCATCAAAATTCAGCAGTCTCCAGTGTCCAAGAATAATCTCTACATGGTACGAAAGTTTGCTTTACATAAAAATCTTCTCTTTGTTTAGTTCTTAGAAATTATGCTATGAAAACTTTAAATTTTTACCTATGATTTTTCAGGGGAAAAGTCTACTATCGTCATCCATCACTGTATAAATTATTTTCATTATCTTAATGTTAGGCTATTGTAGATGATTTCTCCATAGCTGTTCTAGGCATCCTACAAGTAAAACAACTCTCTTCCTCTCCTTCTATCAACTCAATGTTATTATCTCTACCGACCTATCTACCCACTCACTCACCCACCCACCTATATGAAGCAGTATGCTTCAGAAGCCCTTGCAGGATTTACTGGCCTGAAGACAGAATGAAAGCGAACCTTCAAATTCAGGTGGACTGGTGAATGAAAGAGATAAGAGTACCAAAGGTCTCCACAGATCCACACTCCAACTTCAGGATAAGTATGATCTTATAGGACTCAGGGAGGGTCCACTAAATGACTGGTAAAGGCTAAAGGACACTCTTTCCAGTTATGAATAACATGGCAAAGGGAGGGGACTGGAGTGCTCTGCCTGGGCTCCGCTCCCCACCCAGCCCTGTGGGGAACATACTGCAGCACACTAGTACACAGTCTTCCCACTCCCCGGGGGTAGTCTCCATGAAGCTGGCTCAGCCAACTATATAAACATCAATTAGCAGTGGGAGATGAGGGAAGAAAGGCAAAAACATTCTGTAGGATCCACTTGTAGCCTTGAAACTGTGTGTTTCAAGGAGATGAAAGGCAGAAAAGGGAGATCAAGAAGCAATTCTGGATAGATATTTTGTTACTCATAGGAATGATTTTTATTTTTGTTAAACAAAAACAATCATACTTAAATACTAAGAGAATGAAATTGGGAGAGGAGTGATTTCATATTTTATCTCATACACTCTGCAATGTCTGAAAAATTTCCCAAGTATGTATGCATGTATTAGTATTATTATTAAAAATGTTAAATGGTTTCTGATTTCTATTAAATTTCTGGAGTTATAAGTACAGAAGAGAAGTACTATAGCCACCATCAAACTAGGAGATAACCGTTCACATGATTACTTCTGGGCAAGAATTTACCTCTGTATTTGTGTGAAAATGTTTTTGTTATTAATACTACAGGCTAAAGTAGCTGAAGTGTCTCTCACCTGAGAAAATGAATTATTAACTAAATACCTACTGTGGGTCCACAACTGTCATAGATACTGAAACATCATAACAAAAGTTAGAAATACGCCTCTCAGGAGTGAATGGTCACATGAGGGAGGTTATTACAAATATGTAAAACTTCAATACGATTCAGAGCAGTAGATATGAGTACTGAATTGGTGACACAAAGGTTCACTATTTCCTACTAAATACATTCAAGCTCCTCTAGGCCTTCCCTCACCTGGTAATATTAGCTG